ATCAACCTTAAGATCTTCAGTATTTCTGTACTTTTGTTTGTCCTCTCTAGAATTTTTCTTTTCTGCTCTTGCTTCATTCCAAAAAATTCAATAGTTGTTGTATCTTATTAGTTTTGATTTTGCAGTATCCATTTCTTCTTTGAATGCAAATGTAATTGTTGCTGACCTTCTCTGATTACCATTTCTATTGGGTGGTATGTACACAGACTTTGCTTCTTTGCTTTTTAGATAACGTAAAAGCAACACCTTTAATGTATTTGCTAGAAGGTCTCTTAACTTTGTTGTAAACTGGCTTTGTTGATTATGTTGCTTATAGTTCTCATTACTTTTGGTTACCCTTGCTAATTTGTGGGTTCTGATTGGTAATAAGCATGGGATGTTCTTCTCTGTAAGACAATCTGTTCTAATTACTACTAAAGCTTTAAACTTTGATCTTTTGATCCGAATTACTTGTACCTTCCTAATGATTTTGCATATATGTTTTATTTCTTCTAAGTTGATGTTTGCTGGCAGATTCCAAATTATGAAATAGTTGTATTGATTTGAATTATCATTAATTGTATTAGGTTCTTCTATTTTAATTGCTTCTATTCAGCTTGTTGGCTTTGTATATTCTTTTCCCTTTTTTTTGTTATCTTTAAATTGTTGCTCAGCAATTTTCTTCTGTTTACTGCTCTCTTCTGTGATAAGTTTGAGCCAGTCGCCTTCTTTTTTTCTAATTCTGTTCATTGCTTGATCTCTGCTATATTTACAATCGAAATTGATCTCAACCCAATTATTGCCTTTTTTTGAAAACTTATTTTACTGTTTTAATGTGGTGGTTTTTCCTTACAATCTACTTAACATATTTGATTTTTTCTTCTTTTGAAGCTCCTAGCAATGCATAGGCTGGCATATTTGCCTTGAAAGAGTTTTTTTTGTCACAGATTCTGTTTTTTGGTAACCATTGACTATGTTCGATTATATCCAGGAATATTGTTTTTGCATTATCGTTACTTTCTTTTTTCACATTCTGTATTCTTTCATCGATGGTTTCAATATTTTTAATGACATCATAAAGAATATCATTTACTGATACTTCAGCATCTTCTTTTAGTTTTTTACTCTTTTTAATGCTTGTTTTATTGTCTTCTAGCACAGCTTCTGTTAGCCTTAAACTTGAGGTGAAGTCTTGATTGATTTTTTCTTCTGTGCTGTCTTCTTTTTGCTGTCTTTTTTTACTGGTTAGAGGCTTTGTTTCTTTTGCTTCCTTGACTCTAGATATTTCTTTTGTTTCCACTTTATCTTGGGTAATTTTTCCTTGATTTATATTGGATATATATTCTATAGAGCCTGGATGTTGATTTATTATTCTAAGTTTAGTTAACCATTCATCTGTAATACCTTCTTCTAACCATCCTAGTTCTGCAAGACGAAGGGCTTCTAAAATTTGACCATAAAGCAATAAGTCATCAGGTGTAATATGACCTGGATCGCTTAATGCAAGGTCTTTTGCAATATACTCAATATTGCATGGGCTTTTTGTAGGTGTTGTTAGAATACGATCTAGAATTTTGCTGTTAATATATCTATGATTTCTGTCACCCAACCCTCTAATGTAATCTATAATATCTGATTTTTGAATTTTATCCATCGATCTACTAAATTAGGTTGTTTCTTGTTTAGATAATTCACATGCACTTATTTGTTGTAATATTATTGGTTGTTTGTTAAATCCTAATTAGGATAGTGATTACTAAATTAGGAACGTGTTTGATTTGTTTGTTGTTGTTTGTTTATATTATATAATCATGTGCTACAATCTTCTATTTTTCTAGGCTAATGACAAATTCTCAAAATTACAAAAAAACTCTAGAGTTTTAAAATTTTTGTTAAAAAAAACCAAGAAATTTTGTATTTGTTGTTCAGGAAGTTTATTTTTCTTTGTATTCTAATAAAGCAATGATGGCTTCTGATACTAGGAACTTTTCTAATACTATAATAAGTGCTTGCTGTACTACTTTCTGTTGTATTTTAGCTTTGTAATTTTTCGGTTTTATCCTAAATTAGGGATCAGCAGAAAGAGTTTGTATAAATGAGTTATTAGTAATTATTATTACAATAATAAAATGCATACATATAATAAAAATCAGAAACTCTCATAGACAGTGCTAATTGAATTCTTAGAAAAATTCAATATTCCAATAAAGTAAAAGAAAATCTTTGAATTTCCAGATGATTGAGCTGTAAGGCTCATGACCATGAGTTATCCAAAAGATCAGTTTGCAGGTTGAGCTGTAAGGCTCATGACCATAAACTATCTAAAGGGACAGTTTGCTGGTTGAGCTGTAAGGCTCACGACTATAAACTATCTAAAGGGATGGTTTGCTGGTTTAGCTGTAAGGATCATGATCATCAACTATCTAAAGGGGTGATTTGCTGGTTGAGCTGTAAGGCTTGTGACCATAAACTATCTAAAAGGGCTTGTTGGTTGAGCTATAAGGCTTATGACCATAAACTATTTAAAAGAGAGGATTGTTGGTTGAGCTGTAAGGCTCATGACCATAAACTATTTAAAAGGGCAGATTGTTGGTTGAGCTGTAAGGCTCATGACCATAAACTACTTTAAAGGACGGATTTTTGGTTGAGCTATAAGGCTCACAGCCATTAATTGAGAAAAAATTTTTGTTACTCCAATATTCTATATCTATAGCAACTTGTAAAAATTTTCATCAGCTCAACAGACGTTTGCAATTAAACGAAGTGACACTGACCTGTAATCGTCTAAATATGTGCTTCTTTTCAAATTCATTATAAGAGTCTATGACACCATTTTTAAAATCTTTTATAGCATCTTGAAAATTCACTGGAAAATTTGTATAAGCAGTTAGCCAGTTGAGAATAACTACTTCATAAAAAGGTGTGCGTTTAAAGTATTCCATGTGACGTTGGTGTTACTATTTGTTGCCTGTAATGGGGTGTTCTATCAACTATCATATTACGATTAACATTAAGGGGTCGACAACATTGATATCGATTATCTATTTCCATCCACTGTACAATAGTTACGTTTTTGATGTTATATATTTATTAAAATCAAATGAGTAACTTTTGTACATCACTGAGTTATGTTTACCAAAGTTACGGATTAATCCTGCCCGCATCGACAAAATAAGAATCACTTCTGACCAATAAAATCACATGATCTCGTGTAACAAAACAAACGCGAAAAACATAAGAATTGTAAAAAGACGTACATAACACAAAAATTACTATGATAACTAACTTCCGACCTCTAAGTAAAAGTTTTCAGAATAAAATTTTACTCATAGAACACAAATTTTAATGTTAGATATGTGTGGAATTTTTGAGATACTACGACCCATATTTTTTTGGCCGGTACTCGGGATATATAGGATAACTTTCTTCTGATTGGTCAATCACTTTCAATTGCATTTATACAGTTTAAAGTACTTTTTAAGAAGGCAAATTAATTTCCTAAACGGAAAAGGATTTTTTTTTTTTTGGTATTAACTCGGTAAGATAAGCGTGATATTTTATTTTTTAAAAACAAATACAATACAAAAAAAAAAAATTTAATACGAATAATAATTAGAGATACATTGCTTAATTATAATGATAATGCTTAACATATCAATTTAAAATTAAAAATTAACTTACACTCTAGGAATTTTCCACATAAAAAATATTTTAGATTTATTTTTTTATTTTATGGCAATTTTTAAATGGAATATATACTCACTTGCTAATGATTTAAAATCGTGTTATTTGATTAATAATTCTCTTAATAACATTATAATAAATTTTATACTTACACTCTAATAATTTAACAATTATTGTGATTACTTCACAGCAAACTCTCATGTTATAGAATTTTTAAAAAATGAATTATATACTCACGAACTGTTAATTGAATGGTAGAGTTGAATGATTTAATAATAAATTATAACAATTTTAAAGTGTACCTCATACTTACGGGCTGTTATATAATTTTACTTAATTGTAAATTCTTCTGAAATATTGATTTTAAAAATGAACTTTATTTACATTCTGGTAAACGCACTCTCTCTCCCTTTATCTATGTCTCTTTCTTCCTCACTCTTTCTTCTTTCTCTTTCATTATCTTTCTCTCTCTCTCTTTCTCTCTCTCTCTTTCTCTCTCTCTCTTTCTCTCTCTCTCTTTCTCTCTCTCTCTCTCTCTTTCTCTCTCTTTCTCCCTCTCTCTTTCTCTCTCTCTCTTTCTCTCTCTTTCTCCCTCTCTCTTTCTCTCTCTTTCTCTTTTTCTTTTTCTTTCTTTCTCTTTCTCTCTGTTTCTTCCTCACCCCCTCTAATTTATAAGAAGACAATTAGAATTATATAATTCTTACACCTAAACTTCATACTCACGAGCTGATTTAATAAGAGAGTAATACAGTATTAGAGCTATTTAGTAATAAATTCATTTGCGTATAAACTTTATACTTACGAGCTAATTCAATAACCGAGTAATTATTAGAGTTATGTCGATATTATTTAATAATGAACCCACTTACAAATTAATTTTATACTCACGGGCTGATTCAATAAGCGAGTAATTATTAGTGATATTGATATTATTATCATTATTTAATATGAGATTCATCGCTACTCACATACTGATAATTTAACATGCGAATTTGACAATAACGTTAATGATAAGTTGTCTTAAATAATTTTAAAAATTTTTTAAAAAACTTTATTTCTACCGCCTAATTAACATGAATTAATGATAAAGCTGCATATTTTAATATAATAGTAACTTGAAATTCTAAAATTGAGAATTGATTTTTTTTTTTTTACTTACAAGCTAATAGTTAACAAGTAAATGATTAAATTATATTAAATTTGATTTATATATCAATATAGCACCTTTTTCAATAATAATTTCAAAGTACTCACACACTACGAATTAAGAGTAAACGATTAGCATTAATGTTGTATTTTCTAATATTAATCATAAATATTTTGACATATAGTAGACCTCTCTAAACGCAACTTGTCGAGACTGTATAGAAAAAAAATTAAAAATGCATTTAGAGAGACTGCATTTATGTATATAAATACGTATATATCTCATAAGTTAAAACTAAATCATAGCATGCATTTAAAGAGATAAAATTTAATGTTGTACTTAGGGAGGTCTAATTGTATTAGGTTTGAAATGTTAACTTAATACTCACTCTCTTCTCATTTTTAATGCACGCAATTAGATAATTAATACCTAACAATAAATATTTCGAAACACTAATTTTTTTTTTCAATTTTAACCTAGGATAACCTAGGACGCCGGTGGCATACTTTATTAATATTTCTTGAATTCTAGTAATTATTTATAGTGATTATTTACATTAACTTTAAAATTCTATTTACAAGAGATCCTTCATGATTTTTTTCTTATTTTTATAACTGTCGACTCCTTTACCACCATGATTCAATGCTTTTATTGCTTTTTTGAGTCTGTATTTGGTTACTGATTCTAGAGCAGGAGCGGGAATGGGGTTTCCCCATTTCATTTGTGTGTACCAGAACCAGATTTCATAAATGACATTAATGTTAATCCAGTTTCTCAAGTGAGTGTTGCCTGTATAGCGATCTGAAAACATATCATTCAGGTTTTCAGGCATTTTTAGTTTTGCTGAAGGTGATACTAGGTCTAATGCTGCTTTCCAAATTTTTTTGCTTATAGGACAGCTAAGGGCAAAGTGTTCTAGTGATTGTATTATATTGGGACAGTTTGGGCACTTACCCGAGTCATCTGAGTTCATGTAAATAAGTCTGTGACCCAAGGGAAGGGCTTTGTGCTGGAGGCGCCAGTATATATTTTTTTTGTAATTGGGGACAAATCTGTTACCCATCCATTTCCAGCTATTTTTTCATGTTTCATTAATAAGTTGACACCGATTTGTGATATTACTAAGTGTCTCTTCTTTTAAAAACCTAACAGTATTCTTAACTGAGAATTTATTAGCTGTTACGTTTGCAATATTGATGTTGTTTTTGTCCCATGGCCAACTTCCTAGATTATCTTTTATTTTACCCTTGGCACGTTTCCATGCAGTAACATATGATTTCCATTATTCCGGCCAACCTTTTGTTTTAACTGGACTTGTATTTAAAGCTAATTTAATATCTATGTTCCTTTTATTATATAGACTTCTTTCAATTATTGATCTTTCAATTTTGGCCCATAAGTTATTCTCAGTCAGAAGTTTAATCCAAATGTGTAGTAGACGTGCATCAATCAGATCAGGTAAAGTTGGGGCATCCAGTCCACCTTGTGTTTATGGGAGCTGAAAAATAGAAAACCTTGGGAGTATCTTCGATTTTGCTCTAATCCATTTTTCTAGCATTCTACTGATTATAGTAAGCTGTTTTCGTGTTGGTGGGGTCAGATATGCTGTATACCATACTTTAGAGATAACTAAAGATTTTACTAAAAGAATTTTGCCTTCTAATGAAAGGTTACGTATAGCCAGCTTTTGAATTTGACCTTCTAGCTTATATATTGTGTCTTGCCAAAAGTGTTTGTCAATTGCTCCTTGTGATGTTATTTTATAGCCCAATACTATGATAGGTTTATTTTCCTCCAGTGTCTGAAACTCATTACTACCTCTAAGTTCAATGCGTCTGGCATTGTTTGTTAAAGGCATCAGAACAGATTTTTTTGCATTGATTCTAGCATTTGATGCCATTTCATATGTCTTAATTATCTCTTGAAGACGATCCCAGTCTGATAAGGAACCGATCCCGATTGTTAAGTCATCTGCGTATGCTGTAGTTTTAAAAAATTCATTAGCTACTTGAATGCCTTGGAGATTGTCGGTTATTTTTTGTAAGAATGGTTCAAAAGCAATTGCATAAAGGAGTGGAGATAACGGATCACCCTGCCTTACTCCACGTTCTACATTAAAAGATTCAGAGAGCATGCCAGCATCTGTTATATATGCAGTTTGGTTTGAAAATAACTGTTGGATTAAATTAATAAAAGTTGATGTAAAATTCATTCTCTTTAATATTTCTATCAAGTATGTGTGATTGACCCTGTTGAAGGCCTTTTGTTGGTCAATAAATAACATCCAATGTTGTTTATATATGTCTGGTTGATTTCTCAAAACTGTTAATATATTTAGTACTAAGTTCAAAATGGACCTATTTGAGACAAAGCCTTGTTGATGGTCTCCTATAATTGATTGACAGATGAGATTCAACCTATTCGCTATTATCTTTAAAAAAATCTTGGCATCACAGTTCGTTAATGCTATTGGTCGCCAATTACTTATCTCTTCTAGTGCTTCCTTTTTTTTTGGGAATTAGTGTAATAACACTTTTATACCATGATTTTGGAATTTTACCTTCTGTTAAGGCTTCGTTAAAAAGTTTTTTTAAAACTGGTATGATTGTATCCTTCATCATCTTGTAGAATTCATAAGATAGTCCATCAATACCAGGAGTTTTATTGTTTGGTAGAGATTTAATAATGTTCTCGATTTCATCAACTGTTATTTCTTTAATAAGATTAAGATTTTGTGTTTCTGAGACTGATCGTAAGTTGGTAGTAAGGTCTTCTATCATTTCTAAGTTTATATCTTCAGCCTTATATAGTTGTTCATAGGTTTCCTTTGCATAATTTAAAATATCTGCAGAGGTTCCCTTTGCTACAGTGTTCGAAACACTAATTTTAAAAATAACACATATACTTACTTACTGATAATTCAATATGTAACGTTATTATTGAATAAAGAATCTCATAGATAAACGGAAATATCATTACACTCACTCCCTGGTAATTTAACGTTAACATGCATACAATCGATTAGTGAATTAGTATTGAATAGTATATTGAAATACTAATTTTAAAGTATATATTTACTTCCTAATAATTTAATATGTATGAGATCATTTAATTTTGAATTTATAGGTAAGTAGAATCACGATCACACTCACTTCCTGGTAATTTAATTTGCATACAATCGATTAGCGAAGTATTATTTGATGGAAAATCCTTTCAAAATGCTAGCTTTAAAAAAAATTCATGATACTCACCTTCTGATACTTTATAATACACAAGAAACAATGTACTATTTAATGATGAATCCTCTTAAAACGCTAACGTAATTTAAAAAAGGCTGAATTTTATGCTTATGCTTACAAACTGGTAATTTATTATGTACAAATTTATTAGACATTAAAAGTTTATTCGACAACAATGATATTTATACTTACCGGCTGGTAATTTATCGTTTGGAAAAACTAGGATCGTTTATCAAATACTAAATGTATAAATAATACTATACTCACCGTCTGATAGTTTATGTACATATGTAATTAGAGTAATTAAAGCACCTTAACGTCAATCGGAAGTAATTATGGATGCTTATTTAAAATAAATGAATTTGTACTCACATGCTATGATTCATCATATATAATTAGAAGCAATTTTTAATAGTAAATCCTCAAATCCTAATGTGTCGCTTATACTTACAAGCTGATAATTTAACGCATATTAATTATAAGGTTTATTTAACGGTAAATACAAACTTAATGAACTTCATACTTGCTTCCTAGTAATTTTAAAAAGTATATGATCGATTGAGGTATTATTTAATGACAAATATTCTTGAAACACTTATTTTTAAATAAATAAAAATATTTTCTCTATGCTCACATTTTCCTTAAAACGCTGATTCTAAAAATCACCCGATAATTTAAACACGTGCGTAAATGATCAGGAGTATTATCATTATTTATTCCTGAAATATTGATTTTAAAAACAAGCAACTTTAAATCTGATTTCTAAAAAATATATATATATAAAATATATTTAAATTATTTATTAAAATTTAACCTAAATTCATTTAAAAAAGAATTAATTTAACCTTATGCATACGTATGATGGATTCTAAATATTATATATGTAGAAAAAAGCAAATATAAGCATAATGGTTATACGTGATATTAATAATGAATGCAATTTGTTCTTTACTATCTTATTCTGTAGTATATTAGAATAATCAACGATGCAAAAAGAATTTGGAGAAAAAAATGAATGAGGAAATAGAAAATCTCATTATCCATGATTAATGTTGTAATTAATACTGTGTACTATGTAATACGTACACAATACGAACAGAATTTGTAACAAAGACACATGTGCTCAAATATTTACTATATTAGCAAATTTAACGAATTCACCCTTTCATATAGGCTTGAACACTGATTCATTATCGTGTAGATAAGCTTAATGATTGATAGTTAAAGCTGACGCTTCAAAAAAATATATACGTGGTGTCAAAAATATTGCATACTAACATTTCAACTTTATCGCATTATGAAATTCGGAATTTTATTTATTTCAGCTTGAAATTAAACTTTTGTTTAAATGATAAATCTTGGTTTTTTTGGTCTGCACTCACCTCCCACACAATCAAAATGAAGGCATGGTCGGAAGGAAACCTTACGTAATAGCCTTGAAGCGTATAGAGAACCAACTCACAGTATTCTTAATGTGTTGGGTTTATTTTTTTGGAAACAATAATTAAAATACATTTACCAATTTTTTAAATAGTTATAAAGAGTACTATACTCATACGAATAATATTTAAAAATTTTTTCAAGATTTATTTTAGTGGTCATAATTTCAGGGTCATTTTTATCTAAAAATTTTTGACCCATTTTTTAACGTTCTTTTTTTTGAAAAATGATTTTGATGATAATATTTATAATTAATTAAAAATAATACATGTTAGGTTTCGTACTGTCTCTTTTTAACAAATTAAATTTCAATTTTTCTTAAGAAATAAGGTTTAAATTGAACAATTTTTTCAATATAAAAATAATTATAAAATTATTCAATTGATTAATATTGAAAGAAATTAAGTTCAAAATTTGAGCTTAATTAAGCTTGTCTGATATATTGAAAATTAGCTCATGCAAGGTTATAAACTTTACAAATACTTTTAACAAAGTATTTGATAAAAAGTTTAACAAGAAATTTTTCTGTTTCAAAAAATAATAAATAATATTAGTTGTGAATATTTGTATAATTGAAGTATAATAGGAGTTCATTTGTAGGTTGCTTGGCAAGTGAATTTCTAGGTTGTTGAGAATATTGTCTGAGTAGGCTTGAACTTTATAAAAGATAATATTGAGTTTATATTATTTAATAATATTTAGTAAAGTATGTCATAGTGGTCAAAAGTTAAATTTAAAAAGTTTTTTAAAATTTAAAAATGACTGGTTAAGTTGAGTAAATTTTAATTTTATAGATTAAAAGTCTGTATAGATGTTAATTGTAAAATGGTCTGCTGTTAATAGAAATCAGGCAAATTGACATTTTTAAAAAAATCAATACCTTATCTTTCACAGCTCATATTTTGATAAATTTAGAAGCTAATTTGATTATTAAATATTCTACAGAAAGCTCGAGGTCTATGCTTCTTTTGGCTATTGAATAATCAAATTAGCTTCAAAATTCATCAAGATATGAGCAGTAAAAGATAAGGTATTAATTTTTTTTAAAATGTCAATCTGCCTGATTTCTATTGACAACAGCCAAATTTTCAGAAGTAGTTGAAATAGCAAACAGAATAAAAAAGAGTTTAGCCTTGTAAAAAGATGGCCAAAG